GTTTCCGAATTGCCCGCCATCCAAGACGTGTACACCACCATCGGCGGTCAATTCGAAGGCCAAACCACGGTGGCACAGATTCGCGTTCGCATGGTCGACAAAGAACAACGCCAGGTCTCGCAAGACGACGTAATCGCCATGGCCCGCGAGCGTCTCGCTCCCTTCTCGCACCTGCGGCTCAGTGTCGACCCCGTGGCTCGCACCGGAGGTGGTGGATTCCGCTCCGCTCCCATTCAATACAACCTGCGGGGCAATAGCCTCGACCAGCTCAACTCGCTGGCCACCTCGATTGTTGATGACATGAAGCAACAGTCCGGCTTCGTCGATATCAACACGACTAGTCAAACCGGCAAGCCGGAGCTGTCCATCGATATCAACCGCGATCGCGCGTCCGACCTGGGCGTCGAAGTCGAAGAGCTTGGTCGCTCGATCAGCCAACTGGTCGGCGGGCAGAAGGTTTCAACCTACGAAGATGCCGGCAAGAGCATCGATGTCCGCGTCCGGTTGGTCGGCAGCGAACGCGAGCGAGCCGAAGCCCTGGCAACGCTGCCGGTCCGCATGAACGACAACCGCTTGACCGAACTCAGCAGACTGGCCGACGTGCGACAGTCTTACGGTCCAGTGACCATCGAACGCCAGAACCGTCAGCGACAGGTCACTGTCTTGGCAAACCTCGAAGCAGGCAAACCATTGGGCGAAGCTGTGACCGATGTGGAACGTATCGCCAGCAGTATCGGCTTACCGGCCGGCGTGACCGCAGCATTCACCGGAACGGCCGACATGATGGCCGAATCGTTCGCCAGCATGATCTTCGCCCTGCTGCTGGCCATCATACTCACCTACATGGTGCTGGCCGCCCAATTCGAAAGCTACCTGCACCCGTTCACCATCATGTTGTCGCTTCCACTGTCGGTGGGCGGGGCCTTGGGGGCGCTCGCGTTGACAGGCCGCACGCTGAACATCTTCAGCATGATCGGCATGGTGATGCTGATGGGCCTGGTCACCAAAAACGCCATTCTCCTGGTCGACTACACCAACCTGCTGCGAAGTCGAGGGCTGACCAAAGACGACGCTTTACGCCAGGCCGGCCCGACGCGACTTCGCCCCATTCTCATGACCGCTTGCTCCACAATCGCCGGTATGATCCCCATCACGCTCGGGCTCGGAGAAGGCGCCGAAACTCGCGCCCCGATGGGGGCCTGCGTCGTGGGCGGCATGGTCACCTCCACCGTGCTCACGCTCGTAGTCATCCCGGTGGTCTACAGCCTGGTCGCCGACAGTCAGGGCTTCTTCTCACGGGTATTCGCCTGGATCGGCAGCAAAGCGCACCTGCCACAACCGGCCGCTATCGCAGAACCGCAAACCGCGGGTGCCCTAAGGGTCGAGTCGAGCCACAACTCCGCTTTCGAGGCTCATGCCCCGCGGGAACTCGAAGTCTCTGCCAGCGGTCAAATTCGCCTGGCCCACGCCACCGAGTCTTGATCGACTAACTCGCCAAATTGATCGCCCGAGCACGTGTAGCTTCAGCGCGACGTGTGTTCGCTTCGAAACCGAGCGTCCAGCCAGCAATTTGTACCGGGCGTAAGAATCGGCCCTCCGCGGCACCTTAATTCTCTCCCCCAAAACGGGTACGATAGAACGAAGGTACAGACCCCCATCGAATCAGGCGTCGGGTCGCGACGCGGAAAGAAACAGGAGCAATCTCGAACATGGCTCAGTCGTACATCATCGCGGGCTGCCGCACACCCATCGGTCGCATGCAGGGCGGATTATCATCAGTGCCCGCACCTCAACTGGGGGCCGACACCATCGCCGAGTCGCTACGTCGCGCGGAGATTCCCGCCGATGTGGTCGACGAAGTCATCATGGGTAACGTCCTCAGCGCCGGGCTAGGCCAAGCCCCCGCCCGTCAGTCGGCCCTGCACGCCGGACTGCCGCCAACAGTCTCTGCATTAACGATCAACAAAATGTGCGGCTCGGGCCTGCAATCGGTCATGCTGGCCGATCAAGCCATTCGAGCCGGTGATGCCCGATGCGTAGTGGCCGGCGGAATGGAAAGCATGAGCCGTGCCCCACACTTGCTGCACGGCTCGCGCGATGGCTATCGCTTCGGCCACCAACAGGTGCTCGACTCAATGCTGCACGACGGGCTCTGGTGCGCTTTCGAGGACATGGCCATGGGGTGCGAGGCCGACTACATCGCCGAAAGCCGGGGCGTTAGCCGCGAAGACCAAGACGCCTTCGCCGCCGAAAGCCATCGCCGGGCTGCCGAAGCCATCAATCGCGGAGCGTTCGACAAAGAAATCATTCCCGTGGTCATCAGCTCGCGCAAGGGCGAGACAACCATCTCCAAAGATGAAGGCCCACGGCCTGAAACCACGCCCGATACCCTCGGCAACCTCCGGCCGGCATTCGGTCGCGAAGGCACCGTCACGGCTGGCAACGCTTCGCAGATTTCTGACGGTGCCGCCTCGGTGGTGGTGGTCGACGAGGCCCTGGCCGCCGAAAGCAAATCGCCACTGAAGGCCCGCATCGTTTCCATCGCGACCAGCGGAGTGGAACCCAAGGAAATCTTCATTGCCCCGGTCACGGCCATTCAGATGGTGCTCGACAAGGCCAAGCTCACGGTCGACGATATCGACCTCTTCGAGCTGAACGAGGCCTTCGCCGCTCAGGCCTTGGCCTGCATGCGACCGCTGGAGATGCCGCACGAGAAGACCAACGTCAACGGGGGAGCCGTCGCCCTGGGTCACCCCATCGGTGCCAGCGGAGCTCGTGTGCTCGTCACGCTGCTGCACGCCCTTGAAGAGCGAAACCTGAAGCGAGGGGTCGCCTCACTCTGCCTCGGCGGTGGCAACGCGGTAGCGATGGTCGTTGAGCGAGACCAACTCCCCTGACTCAACAGCCGTCCTGAGCGAACGTTCGGGGGGATTAGGTCGATTAAACCGGCACGATCCCAAGGCCAAGTGGGAATTGCTTGCAAGCCTGCCCCGGCAATCCAAACTTATCCCACCATTCGCTCAGGACGCCTTCGACCCCTAAGGATATAATGCGTAAGGTGTTTCTTGGGCTTGCGTTCCACGAGCTTCCAACGCTTGCTGGACCGGCGACCAAGGGTGCCACGGCTGGCTCGTCCAGCCCTTTAGGTTTTGCCCTACTGCAAGCTAAGTGAACCAACCGCCCGATACGCTAGAATGAAGCCTCAACGATGAACCTCCGGGTTCCTCGCTGAAACCAAACTCACCGCCGCCCCATCTGGAAACTGCCCATGGCTACGCACGAGGAAATTCGGACAGAAGAGGATCGTCAAGCTGCCTGGCGCGAGGCCCTCGCCAAGTCGAAAGAGCGAGACGCCAGCTTCACCACGCAGAGCCTGCTTCCGACCGAACCACTCTATTTGCCCGAGGAGCCCGACGCCGAGTACGAAGAGAAGCTCGGCTACCCCGGACAATACCCCATGACGCGTGGGGTGTACGCCAACATGTATCGTGGGCGTCTCTGGACCACGCGACAGTTCGCCGGCTTCGGCGTTCCCGAGGACACGAACCGGCGGTTCAAATTCCTTCTGGCCAAAGGTCAGACCGGCCTCAGCACTGCCTTCGACCTGCCAACACTGATGGGGCTCGATAGCGACGACTCCCGCTCGGTCGGCGAAATTGGTCGTCTAGGTACGGCCGTCGACACGATCGACGACTTCGCAACGATCTTCAACGACATCAACCTGGGCGAAGTTTCGGTCTCCATGACTATCAACGCCCCAGCGGCCATCATCCTGGCCTTCTATGTGGCCACGGCTCAAAACAAGGGCGTCGATCTCAAAGCCCTCCGCGGTACGCTGCAGAACGATATTCTCAAAGAGTATCACGCGCAGAACGAATACGTCTTCCCGCCGGCACCCAGTGTCGAGCTGGTGATCGACACGATCGAGTATTGCGCTCACAACCTCCCGCAGTTCAGTGCCGTCTCAATCAGCGGCTACCACATGCGAGAGGCCGGAGCCAACGCTGTCGAAGAACTGGCTTTCACCCTGGCCGACGGCTTCCACTACATCGACCGCACCCTCGAACGCGGACTGGATGTCGACGAGTTCGCCCCACGTCTGTCGTTCTTCTTCAACTCGCATAACGACTTCATGGAAGAGATCGCCAAGTTCCGCGCGGGCCGCCGCATTTGGGCCCGACATCTTCGCGAACGTTACGGGGCGAAGAACCCCAAAAGTTGGATGATGCGTTTCCACGCCCAAACCTCTGGTGTGAGCCTCCAAGCGCAACAGCCTGAAATAAACGTCGTGCGTGTGGCCTATCAAGCCATGGCCGCGGTGCTGGGCGGATGCCAGTCGCTGCATACCAACAGCCGCGACGAAACCCTGTCGCTGCCCACCGAAGAAGCCGTAACCATCGCCTTGCGAACCCAACAAATTCTGGCCAACGAAACCGGAGTCACCTCTACCGCCGACCCGCTAGGCGGCAGTTACGCACTGGAACGCATGACCGACGACATGGAAGAACAGGCCGAAGCCATCTTCGCCGAAATCGAAGATCAAGGCGGCATGATCGCCGCCATCGACAACGGATTCTTCCGCCGTCGCATTGCCGAAAGCTCGTACCGCTACCAGCGCGAAGTCGACGGGGGCCGCAAGATCATCGTCGGCGTGAACGCCTTCCAGGAAGATGACGGTCTCCGCATTCCCACCATGGATGTCGATCGAGCCATCGAGGCCCAAGTCTGCTCGCGACTGAAAAAGGTGCGTGAGTCCCGCGATGCCGCGGCGGTGGAGAAAGCCCTCGAAGGCGTTCGTCAAGCCGCCCGCAACGGCGAGAACACAATGCCCGCGCTGATCGAGGCAGCCCACTGTCGTGCAACCGTAGGCGAAACAGTGAACGCCCTTGCCGACGTGCTGGGTCGCTACCTCCCCGGTGGTTGAGCCACACGCCCGGAAAGCTCTAGCGAAACACATCTTCGATCAACATCCAGACACCCTGTAAGCGATTCAAGAAAACATGGCAGAAAAGCGTCCTATTCGAGTGGTCTTGGCCAAAGTGGGGCTCGACGGGCACGACCGGGGGATCCAAGTGGTCGCCCGAGTGTTGCGTGACGCAGGCATGGAAGTCATTTACACGGGCCTCTGGCAAACCAACGAGGCCGTTATTCGGGCCGTAGAAGACGAGGACGCCGACGTGCTGGGGATCAGCCTGCTCTCAGGAGCCCACATGTCGCTGATGCCTCTGCTGATCAACGCCCTTAACGAGCACGGTCTTGGACACGTGAAAACTGTACTCGGCGGCATCATCCCCGAGACAGACATTCCAGAGCTGGAAAAAATGGGCGTGGCCAAAGTCTTCACCCCAGGCACCCCCCTGCCCGAGATCGCCGAGTTTATCAACGGCGCGGTCGAAGTCTGAGCGGCCCCTTGTTCGCACCGCCTGTTCGTGGGGATTTTCGGCAGGCTGTCAGACAATCGTCTTGACACATTTTCGCCACGCTGAGACTCTGCCCTCGATGCAATCGGCATCCATGAATGTGTGGGGAAACACGCGAGTTTCAGGGGCGATTCACGCCTTCGATACTCTCGCGCAGATGGAATTGCGAAGGACCTGACCTTGTCGACTCATCCGGCACCTCCGTTGCAAATGCTCCGGCGCTGCCGTCTGTTTCAAGGCATCGGGCCCGCCGAACTGCAGAAGATTGCCGAGCAGGTTCAGCACCGGCACTTCGACAGCGGCGATGTAATCTTCCGGCGTGAAGAGCCCGGTGACAGCATGTTCATCGTCGCGCAAGGCCGGGTAAAGTGCGTGGTCGAGCAAGAAGACGGTGAGTTCGAACTGCTCGACTACGAAGAACAAGGCGGACACTTTGGCGACTTGTCGCTCCTGGTCGGTGGGCTTCGCACCTCGACCGCCACGGCCGTGATGGACACAGAACTGCTAGAACTCAGCCACGACCGATTCCAAAGCCTGATGATGAGCGTGCCGGGCTTCGCTGCCAACTTGAGCCGCTCGCTAGGCTTCAAGCTGCGGGGCCACACCAACAAGCGTCCCTCGCGCAGGCGCTCCGCGGTGGTCGGCATCATCAACTCGACACTCCGCACCCAAGCGCTCGTAAAGCCGCTGGCCGAAGCCCTGGTCCACGCGGGCGATTCGGTCGAAGTGCTCACCGACCGCAAGCGCGCCTGGCCAACGCAAGGTGGCTACCTCGTCGAGCGCATTCCCGATAGCAGTGACGGCTCGTCACGGTCGAGCTTAGTACGTCAACGGTTGTCGCAAGTGGTCGAGCATCACGACCGAGTACTGATCGATCTCACACAAAGCGGCGTTGAAGACTCGCTCCCCAAACTGCTCGATCAGTGCGAAGAAATCTGGTGGCTGGTCGATCCGTTGTTCGTCGAGACCGCCCATCGCAACCTCAACAGCCTGCTGCAAGTAAACCCAAAGCTAGCTTCCCGAATTCACTTGGTGTGGATCCTTCGCCACTCCGAGCGATTTCCGCCCATTACGCTTTACGACTTGGGAGTTAACCCTCTCGATTTCAAAGTCGTGCTGGACGAAAATCAAAGCGAACCTTCACTCGAGCAACGCAAGTCGATCTCCCGCCTCGTGCGACACTTGCATGGCACACGCGTTGGCCTGGCGCTGGGCGGGGGTGCCGCACGTGGCTTAGCTCATCTGGGAGTTCTTCGCGCACTCGACCGCGCAGGCATCTTCTTCGACCACATTGCTGGCACAAGCGTGGGAGCACTCATGGGAGCTTCTTACGCTGCTGGCTGGACACCCGAGAATGCCCTCGAACACTTCGCCCAAGAGCTGACACCGCCTTGGCTCGTTCGCAAGCTGCCCACCGGTAACGGCTTCTACATGTGGTGCATGTACATGCTCAATGCCTGGGATCGCAAGCTTCGCCCTTACCTGCACGAGTACCGCATCGAGCAGTTCCGCATTCCCTTCTGTTCGGTAGCCGTCGACTTAATTTCCGGATCGGTCGTAGTCCGTGATCGAGGCGATGCCGTCGATGCAGTGCTCGAAAGCATCAATTTGCCGGGCATTTCACGCCCAATCCTCCGCGACGGCATGGCTCTGACCGATGGAGGGGTGCTGAACAACGTGCCCGGAGATCTACTCGTTGAGCGGGGCAACGAGCTGGTGGTCGGGGTCGACGTCGTCACCAAGCTCTCACAGCAGTTTGCAGGCAACACGCCCTTAATGGCCACGCACGAGATGCGGCGAGCTGGGCCCATCGAAACGCTACTTCGGGTGAGCGAAGTGCAGAACTACGGCATCACCGCCATGCGTTCCGGGGCGATCGATTTCATGATCTCGCCCGATACTTCGAGGTTCGAATTCACCGACTTTAGCCGCGCCTACGAACTGGCCGACTTGGGAGAGGCCGCAGCAGAGGAAGCCATCCCTCGTCTCAGCGAGCTAATCGCAGAGCACGAAAAGGGGCGCTAAGCGGCGTGCAGAAACGCACGGAATCTAATGGCAGGCGCACCCACCAAGCAGTGCTGGCACCCGTCTGCGTAGAAAATTTTGCAAAACCGCCTGACAAGAAGCTCAGACGGCTCAGTGTGCGAATGACCCCAAGGGGACTCGAACCCCTGCTCCAGGCGTGAAAGGCCTGTGTCCTAACCAACTAGACGATGGGGCCTAGGAAGTTGTGGCTGCAAGAAATTAACAACCGCAAGAGAGTGTTTACACGAGGATGCCCCCGGGCGTCAAGAACCGCTCGGGCATATCAGGCATCAAATGAGCTGAAGACGCTCTTATCGAAACGCGACCGCTGCTAATCGAAGGGTTGCTAACGCGAGTGAAAGCGGGCAGAATAAGTCCCAGCCTTAGCTGGTCTCACCAGTGGAGCCAGTTTCTGCGGGATCCGCATTGTCTTCCTTTCGCGCGTCATTACGACGAATGGCCTCAAAGACCTCACGCCGATGAACGGGCACTTCCTTAGGAGCCTCGACGCCTAACCGCACCTTGTCACCACGGATCTCAACCACAACAATGGTGATGTCGTCGTTGATGACGATGCTTTCGTTCTTTTTTCGCGATAGTACCAGCATGGCGTTTCCTTCACCTGTGTGCCCCTCGTCATCCAACCCGCGCTCGCAGAGCTTCAAGGTACTACTTACCTCTTCCACTGTGCGGCGTCGGAGTGACACTCCCTCTCCATCCCGAAGAGAGAAAAAGTAGGCACCGACTTCATCTTTCACTTTACGTGCTCTTGTACCAGAGTCAAGGAACGATAAGCCACGTAGTGCCAAATTCTTCCAGGCATTGGCACACCATTCGTATGGGCTGATCAATCTCGCCGTCCTTCGCAGGCGGCCTCACGCCAGCCCCCCTCTTGGAACAGAGACGCAAGTCATTATACCAAAAACAGTTACCGCACATCGTCCAGGTTTCCTGCAAACAGGGAATGCTGCCTCATAATTCGTACTGTCCTCAAATCGTTACGAATTCTTAGGACTACTCCACACCCTCTGGAGACAAATAACTTCGGTCCCACTATCACCTACAGCGCCCCCAGCATGAGCGAACCTTATGTTAAACGGTCCATCCTGTGACCATTTTGAGACCGATATCCTTGGGTGCTCTTGCCGTCTGAGCCGCCCGTCCATTGGCTCGCGCCTGGCCCGGTCACGCCCTGCGCAAAGTGTTTCCGACATCCGCATCCAACTCCGGCCGGGATCAAACACTGACCATCATCGCTCAGGCACGCTGAAGAAATGGGTAGGCCTCTTAGCCATTCTTTGAATCCAGGCGCACACTCACACGGCTCGCTCCTCAATCGAGTTCACCAAATTCCGGACTCGCTTATTCCACTTCTCCGGAGGTCTCAGCTAAGCGTAACCCGCACGTGAGAGGGATATTTCAGTGGGGTCTTTTTCTCAGCGAAATCGGCATCGAGAAGCAGACAACTCCCGATCGGTAGGCTAATCCAGATTTTCGTATATAGTAGTGATAGTTCGCTGCCGCAGTTCCGCGGCAAAGTGGCGTTGCACTCGTCCGCATCACGGGCAATCGCAATGTGAGCAACGGTAAATTCTTTCGCCGTAACACTGCTTACAACCGGAATGGAGCTTCTCAAATGAGCGAAGAGCAGGCCAAAGACCGCAAGCTTTTCACCATCGATCAGGCCAACGCCATGCTGCCTTTGGTACGTGCGATCGTCGAGGATCTCTCAAACCTTGCCAGAGACGTGGTCGAACGTCGTGAACGGATTTGGATGATCCGCGATGAGCGACATCGCAACTCGAAAGACCCTTACAGCGAAGAACTCGCCCAAATCGAAGAAGACCTGGAGAAGGATAGCCAACGCCTCGAAGAGTACGTCGAAGAGTTGCGCCAGTTGGGTGTTGAACCCAAGAACGGGCCCGAAGGCCTGGTCGACTTCCCTGCGATGATCGACGGCGAGTTGGTTTACCTGTGCTGGAAACTCGGAGAACCCGAAGTCTTGTACTGGCACGATCTCGACGCAGGGTTTTCCGGAAGACAACCCCTCACGGCCGATGTCGGATCTGATGATGCCGCAGAAAAAGAATCGGACGAAACCTAAAAGACGATGTCTGGGGTACACGTTCAACTCTGGCAAGAATGGTTCCTCTTCGCTTCATTCTGCTGCTCGCTCCCCCTGCCTGCCCCCCGAAGAAGTCGTTTCATCAAACGGCGAAATCATTAGAATGCGGGCGGGAACAGGGCGATTCTTATCATTTCAGCTTCTCTATGACGCTAGCAATTCGGGCCAAAGAATTGCCTCGCACTTGGGTTCTATACCCGCTGAGGGGAAGAACTCCGTGTCGTCCGATGCATCAATTCCCGCTGAATTCGCCTATAATTCAGCCGGAATCTCCGCTATTCTCCCGGACAACATCCGTTACTGGCGTTGAGTCGTGGGGGAACGCAAACGGTACGGGGGCTTATGTAAAGATCGGTGGGAGCTGCGCAGAATGCACGCCTTGCGTTCATCAAGTCTTAAAGTATTGCGCCAAAAATCTAATACACGTCTCTGTCGTCAAGAACCCCTCGAAGTACGACATCTACTATCGACAACTGTCGGTTCCACTGTGGAAGTGATAGAAAACGATGGTGCGTCGTTAATGAGCCTCAGCACAGAGGCGACCTCTGCTTCGATGCACGGGCACGGCCACGGAATGGCCTACGTTCCCGATGATCCGACTGCACCGGAGATTATCTTACAGCACAACATCATCCCCAATTTTGTGCTGAACCCAACACATGTCAGCGTGCAATCGGGCAACTGGTCCGATCCACAAACGTGGAGCGGAGGTGTGGTCCCGGGCGAGGGTGCAATCGTTCAAGTTGTATCGGGCACAACTGTCGTCTACGACACGATCAGCGATGCGAACATAAAGGCCCTGGGCATTAATCCCGGCGGCAAGCTGGATTTCGCCATCGACCGAGATACCCGTCTCACGCTCACCACAATGATCGTGTTCCAAGATGGGCATCTGCAAATCGGCACCGAGGCCAACCCGCTGCCAGTCAATCACAAGGCAGAAATCGTCATCGCCGATGTCCCGATCGACTTGGTCAACGATCCTCAGCAGATCGGCAATGGCCTGCTCTGGATCGGGAAGATCGATATCTTCGGCAGCCCTATCGCTAGAACATGGGAACGACTCCTTCTGCAAGCTCGGGCCGGGGACACGCAACTCGGGTTCTATGGCCAAGCGCCGGCGGGTTGGAAAGCCGGCGATACCATCATTCTCCCCGACACACGGCAAGTACCGAGTACGCTCGCCGACGATGTTATCAATGGCGTTCCGGGCGTGTTTGAAGGCCAATGGGAAGAGGCCGTCATTCAAAGCATCCAGGGCGACAAAGTCATTCTCACCGCCCCGCTGCAGTACGATCATCTCGGCGCCTTCAATGGCGATGGTATCGCAGAGCAAAAGCCGCATGTGGCGGTATTGGATCGCAACATCGAAGTACGTTCCGAAAATGCCGAAGGAACGCGCGGCCACATTATGGGCCTATACCGAGCCGAAATCGACGTTCACTACGCTCGCTTCAAGGATCTAGGTCGGACTGATGCCTTCGCCGAGTTGGACAATACAACGTTCGACGAGCATGGAAATGTAACTCACATAGGCACGAACCAAATCGGCCGATACGCATTTCACCTGCACCACCTGGTTGGCCCTGAGGACGGGCTTTCCTCGGGATACCAGTACCGGGTCGTAGGTAATACCATCGACGGCGGTCGCCGCTGGGGATTTGTTTGTCACAACACCCATTACGGTCTAGTCCAAGACAACGTCGCTTATGACATCGATGGCTCTGCTTATGTCACCCAAGACGGCAGTGAAACCGGGAACAAGTTCATTCGCAACTTCGCGATGCGCATCATCGGTACCGGCATCGATGGCGAAGAAGGCATTGAAGAGAATGATTTTGCACGCGGGGGCTCCGGCTTTTGGGCACGACGGGCTGGGAATGATTTCCAGGACAACGTTGTTGCCAATGCCCTGTACGGCGGAATTGTAGTCGCCGGGAAACTGCTCAACTCGGTTATCATTCCCATCGAGCAAGGAGCCGACAAATCGCAGCCAGGGCAAGGTGTCGAGGTGATCAATTCCAGCCCGGGCATCTTCTTGCGTAACGAGGTCTACGGTCGCACTCAGTTTGGCATCTGGATCTCTTGGGCCACGGCCTATCGCATGGACAAAATGGTCGAAGATTTGGTGATCAAAAACTCGAGAATATGGAACACCCACGGGCGCGCCATCTCGCTTGACTTCACCAACAACACGATCGTGACGGGGGCACAAATCTTGGGCGATATCGACGTCCTGGAGCAAAGCACCCCCGCCCGCCCGTCCGCCGGAATCGTCGCCCGCGATCATACGAATCTCAACCTGACGATTGAGAACTCAAGAATCGAAGGGATGAAGTTCGGCATCATCACCCCTCCAGCAGACAATGGAGGAACTCCGGAAGGTCAACCAACGGTCATCCGAGATACTCGCCTGCAAAATTACATCAACGTTCGGGTAGAAACACCAACGTCCGGTACCGGCAAAGGACTGGACCTGGAAAACATCGTCTGGGACACGATCGCGATGGACCCGCTCTCCGATCTGGATCCCATGCATGTATTCATGATGTACAGTGAAACCAATTCACAATTACTCGCCCCCGACGTGGTTCGAGTGATCGATGCAAATGGCGATCCCGATGCGGACTACCGTCTTTACTATGCTCAACAACATCCAGACTACGTCGTGCCTTCAGCAACACCGGGACTCGGTGGCGCACCGGTAGCGGGACTGACCAATGCCGAATTGTGGGCACAGTACGGCCTGGCCATCGGCGGAGCCATCAGCCCTTGCCTAGATGGGAATTGCTCAAACGCCTCAGACGACTTCAGCACGAACGGAGATGCGTTCCCTATAGAGGTGCTCGTCGGCGCCTTGGGGTCGGGAACGAATTACCGAAATGAGGTTTATAGCTTAACACTCATCTCTGCAGATATATCTCTCTACGATCACGGCGATTTCACCTTCTACGTTGACTGGAATAACGACGGCACCTACGACGAGACTGTCGTCGCCCCAAGTGGTACCGTCATCAATCATCAGTTCACTGAACACGGCCAAACCGAAGTTCGCGTGATGGCCGAGAACAAGTTTGGCGATCGAAGTCCCGAGATCGTCCATGATGTCAATGTAATCGCGTACGAACTGCTTCCCAACGAAGAGAATTCCAGCTTGACCGATCTGGTATGGTATGGCACCTCTGGTGATGACGCGGTGTATTTCGTACCCCAACCGAATTCCGTATGGCTGTTTGAGGCATCTCTTGATTCACAATCGATAAATCGAGTTGTGACGATCGACGGCATCACGGGCAGCGTTGTTGCTTATGGATTCGAAGGAACCGATCTACTTGCGGCAATCACCACCCGAGATGTGATGTTCTATGGTGGTGCAGGAAACGACTTTCTAGTGGCCGATTCCGGAGACGATTTCTTAGACGGCGGAGCCGGTAATGACTACATCGTCGGCGGATCTGGGGACGACGCTCTCTTCGGAGGTGACGGGGTAGATTACCTTCTAGGCGGCGAGGGCAACGACCTCCTCTGGGGGCAAGTAGGCACAGACTCCCTCGATGGAGAGGCCGGCAACGATATCTTGATCGGCGGCGAAGGCATCGACGCCCTCAAGGGAGGAACGGGGGAAGATCTCCTAATCTCCGGGACGACATCGTTCACCGATGACCCGGCCGGCCTTGACTTAAACGCCTTAGGAGCCGTTTACCAAGAGTGGACATCGTCACGAACATACCAGCAACGAATCGACAACCTCACAGGCAATGGAATCGGTGAGAGATTGAACGGATCGTATTTCCTCGACCCCAATCAGACGGTTTTTGCTGACAACCATTCCGAAGTTTTGAATGGAGGCGATGGCGACGATTGGTTCATTCACGCCGTCACCCAGGGAGTTTTCGCAGGCAATCCCCTCCCGACTGATGCCGTCAACGATTTGGATCCCAGTGAGCAAGTACTCGACGCGAACCAGCCGCCTCCGTGGTGGTAAGCTTGCAAGACTTCGCTGCCATCAAACCCATAACGCATTCACTGCATCAAGCCATGCACATGCATCTGCGCATGTTACTACTCATAATGACATGGTAAGCACTCTCGATCTGTCGAGTCCCTAAGGGGCCATGCGAGAGTACACTTGAGTGGCTTTGGGCACTGGACTCGAAACTAACTGCTTGCGCAATCTTTCCCCCAAGCGAACGCAGGGGCGTTCGACCAGGATATACATCAAGTGCGCACCAACCAAGCTGCCAACCAGCCCGATTAGAACCAGCAGGATCGATCCTGCCGCGGAGTCGAAACCAAATCGTGCCAAGACACTCATCAGTCGAGAACCCGTGATGACATGCATCAGGTAAAGGCTATACGAAATCCGCCCTAAGTACTGCAGCACTGGCCCGCTCAGCCAACTCTCAAGCTTCCCAAGTTTGCCGGCCACGAAAATTAGGGAAGCCGCGCAGAATGTCGCCCACAGCACACTCGCTGGGTTGCCAACCCCAAAAGCGCCAACAAATACGTTACTAGGGGAGAGCACTCCTAAGGTGTTTAGGGCCGCAAGCGTTCCGATAATCCCCAAAAAGAATAAGAACCAGAGCTGCGCCGCTCGTTGAGTGGTGAGCGACCAGTAAGAAAATACTCCCAACAGAAACATGAACCATTGTGGGAGCCACAGCCCCGGATGCAGATTCTCTCGGAAAATTCCCGCGGGCCAACACAGTGCCAACATCATGACTGGCACGAAGATCAGTAGTGCCCGATTTCGGGAGAATGTTAACGGATCAAGCGACGGTCTATCCTCAGAGCTGGGAGCCTTTGCAATCCACAACATCACAAAGAAAACCAAATAAAACTGAAATTCCAGACATAACGTCCAGCCAACAGGCACCACACTCTTCGCCCCGACAATGTTGTCGAGATAGAACATGTTGGCCACGACACCCAAGGGAGTAGGGACGTCAACTTCCCTTCCCGTGAAAAGTGCATTCCCGGCGATGTTCACGGCCAGCAGGCACCAGATCGCCAACCAATATGGCGGATCCAGTCGAACCGAGCGACGCAGTGCGAACACTCCAAAGTTCCTTAAGTCGAGCGGATAACGGCGCAACGAATGGGCCATAACAAACCCGCTGATCACAAAGAACACCTGCACCCCCAAGTAGCCATGGCTCAGTACGAAGTCGAGTATCCACGGGACTTGGTTGGAGAATTCCTTCGGTGAGAAACGCTGAAAACTGCCGTACAGGTGATAGAACATCACAGCCGAAGCTGCGAGGCCGCGCAGACCGTCGATCAAGAGAAATCGCTGCGGATGCGAAGTCATAGGACAGGCGTTTCTCACCAAACATGTGGGCTTCGCCGTGTAGCTACGCGCTTTGAGACTTCCACCAGATATGTTTGGTTCGCCTTAGCCTCAAGGATCATATTGTTGCCTCCCATCAAGAATCAGGCAATTCAAAAATCGACTTCCAGCTCGGCTACTGAATGTCTAAACCAGGGCGATCGATCAATGCCGTCCGATGCTTCAACTCTCGAAGGTAGAGCCTCATGCACAAGCGAACCGGGCTAGTTAGCACGAAACCGCACATCACACCCCGCCAGCCAGGACCCATCGAAGTAAACTATGGTTTGCAGTACCGGATGGCACGGATGGGAAGCCACTACATTTACACCCTTCCGATTCTGCACAATTTCCGTTCAAATTAGACGGAAGGCACGATTTCAGCGGTTTTCGCGAGTTTTCCGGGTTCAATTCTGACAACGGTTTACCGATCCCTTTCCTCAATCGCAGCCGCAAGGTACATATCTTAGTGGTTCACCAGGCAACCGAGAGGTGGCGGGAGTGGCAAGTCTGATTGAAATTCGTCACAAAACGACCGGAGAGGTTCTCCACCAGGTCGACGCAACTCGCCTGAACGGAGTCAACCTCGGCGGCATCTCGCTGCGCGAAGCGAATCTGGCCCGCACCACGATCGAACGCGCTCAACTCTCGGGCGTCGATTTGCAAGAAGCCGACCTTTCGTTTGCCAACCTCTCGGGTACCGACCTGCACGAAGCCAACCTCATCCGGGCATCGCTGAAAGGCGCCTCACTGATCCGCGCGAATTTGGCGCAGTCTCTTCTGGGCAGCGCCGATCTGCGCAACGCCAGCCTACATCAGGCTGATCTTCAGGGAGCCGATCTTGAGGGTGCTCGCCTCACCGGCGCCGACTTCACCGGCGCAAATTTGGAAGGCGCTCAACTCACCGACGCCCGCTACGATCAGCTCACCCGCTGGCCTCAGGGTTTCGACCCTGCCTCGGCCGGGGCCATTTCACTGGCCGAAGGCGATCAGTAAACTGTTCGCTCCGAGTCGCCCGCAGCGGACGCCTCTGCGCTCGCTCCCCTGCCCCGCAGAACTCTCGCTCAAGTAGCCATAAACCATGCAGTTCTTTGATACCCATTGCCACCTTGATCAGGAAGAGTTCGACGAAGACCGTGCGGAGATGATCGCCCGGGCCCAAAAAGCCGGCGTCAAACGCATGCTCACCGTGGCCGTCACGGCCGACTCAAGCGATGCCACGGTCGCTCTAGCCGAGGCAAACGAAGACCTCTACGCAGCAGTGGGGATTCACCCAAACTATTGTTCACAAGTGGCCGTCGACGAGTGGGATCGGGTGCTTGCAATGACCAAACATCCCAAAGTCGTGGCACTCGGTGAGACCGGGCTCGACTTCTATCGCGACTATGCCCCCTCCGACGTGCAGGAAGATTACTTCGACCGCCACATCCGCCTGTCGCAAAAACTCGGCTTGCCGTTCATCGTACATACCCGCAGCAGCGAAGAATTGGTGATGAAGATGCTTCGAGAGGGCGCCGCTTGCGGTCCATTGAAAGGGATCATGCATTCCTTCACTGGCGACGAGACGATGGCCGCCGAATGCCTGGAACTCGGCATGCACATCAGCTTCGCCGGTATGGTCACCTTTAAGAAGTCCGACGACCTGCGAGCGATTGCCAAGATCATTCCCGATGATCGACTGCTCATCGAAACCGACTCGCCCTACCTCTCGCCCCATCCCTTGCGAGGGAGCCGAAACGAACCCGCCCGCGTCGTCCACACCGCCCAATGTCTGGCCGAAGTCCGCGGTCAAACCATCGAAGAAGTGGCTGAATTGACCACTCAGAACGCCCTGCAACTGTTCGGACTCGCCACATAGCCCTTCGCCATCGAACCCATGTCCCCCGGTTCGCGAGCCACTCACAATGTGCTAAGTTGACGGTCCGCTAACGACTCCTTCCTCCGGCACCATCGCGTGCCAGAGTTCCCCCGCCCGAAAGGACGACCGATGGTCAAAACTCCCAGCACCATGCTTCCGCTAGGCACTCCCTCCCCGGATTTCTCGCTACCCAATATAGACGGCAAGGTAGTCTCGCTGGCCGATTTCCGCGACGCCCCCGCCTTGCTGGTGATGTTCATCTGCAACCACTGCCCCTTTGTCAAACACATTGCCGATGAATTGGCCAAGCTAGGAAGTGACTATCAGGCCAAAGGTGCAGCGGTCGTAGCGATCAACTCCAACGACGTCGAGAATTACCCCGACGATTCGCCGGCCAAAATGAAAGAAGAAGCCCAGACCCGGGGCTACACGTTCCCGTATCTCTACGACGAAACGCAAGAAGTGGCCAAAGCCTACCACGCGGCCTGTACGCCCGACTTTTTCGTCTTCAACGCCGACGGCAAACTGGCCTACCGCGGACAACTCGACGCCAGCCGCCCCGAAAACGGAGTGCCCGTGACCGGCGAAGACCTTCGGGCAGCGCTCGACGCCGTGCTCTCCTCAGGTTCCGCCCCCGAACCCCAAACGCCCAGCATCGGCTGCAATATCAAGTGGAAAGCCGGCAACGCCCCTGAGTACTTCGGTTAAGGCAAGCAATCAGTGCTGGTTTGGGCCGAACTTCGACTGCCCCTTTGGCTCAGTCGATGAACTCCGGCTCAACCAGCGTGGGGATAATCCCGGCCTCGTAGCCGCGGCGTAACAATAAGGCGACGGCTTCACGTCCACGCGGACCAAAGTCGAGCGTCCAATCGTTTACGTACATGCCTACGAAGCGGTCGGATCGTTCGTGGTCCAAGTCACGGCCGTACTGTTCGGCATACTTCAGGGCTTCTTCGCGATGCTCGAGCCCGTAGCGGATGCTCTTCTTCAACAGACGGGTGACCTCGGTCATCGCCTCGGGGCCCAAATCCTTACGGATGGCGTTGGCACCCAGGGGTAGCGGCAACCCGGTGGATTCGAGCCACCATTTGCCCGTATCGACAGCCAGCTTCAGATCGTGGTCCGCATACGTAAGTTGCCCCTCATGGATGATCAACCCGGCTTCGACCGGCTTTCCGTTGTATGAGCCGGCCTCGACGGCAGGGATGATCTCGTCGAAGGGGACCACCTCGTATTTGAAGTCGGTCTGCAAGTACAGCCGCAGCGCCAGGTACGCCGTGGTCAACGTCCCAGGCACCGCGATCACTCTCTCGCGCAACTGGTCGGCATCGAGCGTCTCTTTGGCCACAACCATGGGCCCATAACCGTCGCCCATGCTGGCTCCGCACGAGCACAGAGCATAATGGTCGGTCAGGTGGGCGTAACCGTGCAGGCTAACGGCCGTAAGCTCCAGTTCGGCACTGAATGCCCGGCGGTTCAGTGTTTCGATGTCCACCAGCTCGTGGGTGAACTCGTAGTCCCCGGTGTCGATCTTGTCGTTGGCCAACGCGTGGAACATGAACGCGTCGTCAGGATCGGGGCTATGTCCAACACGAATCAGTTGCTTAGTGGCACTCACGAATCACGCCTCCCGCAATGGCGGTTTACTATCCGATGCCCCAGGCGACCCCCTCTGGCCGCACCCGCGCATCGACGACTTGAACCAACATGCCAGGGGCCTAAATTGCCGCCGGAGGCACGTCTCTGGAAGAAGAACCGCAAACCTGGGAGTCTCGCAACAGCCGGCTCCCAATCTGCCCTCAATGAGCGCAGGGTCGCAGTCCGCACAGTTTCCCGAGCGAGACACCAGGGGTCAAGCGGTTGGTAAGCTGGAGAGAAATCTGAGCCGCTCTGGCGGCGTTTAGGCCTCGAACGAGGTAAAGCTCTCAGATCCCCCGGCGGTATCGAATCCTCCGCCATAGGGCGAAGGCGAGGCAGGCTTCGCAGGCGGAATCGCCGAACTTGAGAGGTCCAGCGAAGCTGCGGAATCTGGCGTTGTCGTGGAGTTCGTCTCCGCCGCCTCTTCAGCCTGGGGTCGTGCCGGGGCGTCGGGGTTCTGTTCGCAAACTTGCTTCCACGTCTCCCGTTCGCTCTCCAGAATCTGCAGAGCGTCGTTCAACTGGTCTTCGTCGTGGCGCAGGTGAGCGAACACCAGGGCCCGAAAGATGAACATATAGATGCCGGCCACCTGGCGAACCAACTCGGGCTGCTTGCTGGAATCGAGCCCTGCGATGAGTTGGGTGACAATCTGCTGGCTCTTCAACAGGCACTCGCCCGCTTCTTCATCCCGCTCGTGCTGCCAGTTTTCCTGAGCCTGCCGGGCCGAGCGAATCGCCGCGTCGATCAGCATCAACTGCAGCTTCTGCGGAGTGGCTGTCATCACCTGCGTCACCAAGTACTCTTCGCGTGCCGATTCCATTAAGGTCTCCTTCAGTTCATCCGTGTTGATCACACGCGATGGTGTGGTGAAAAGCGATTCATTTTTGTGTATCCCGCCGAATCGACGACTGCTTCAACGCCGGTTAGACCGAAGTAAGCGGCGGTAGGATCTGCAGTGCGCTGAGTGCCGTAAGGTTGTTCTGCTGTTGGGCGATGGCCAGCTCCATCTGGTTAAACTCGCGCAGCAAAAGTTCGCGTGACTTGTCGAGCCGCTCTTGCATGAAGTCGAGCCGCCGATTGATATCGTCGAGTCGGCTTCCCAGGGCGTCGATGCGGTTGGTAAGCAGCGAAGTATCTTCGCCGGCCAGTGTGTTGATCAGGTTCTCCAGCTTGTCGGAGAATCCTACATCTTTCTTGGTAAAAAACTCCTCGACGGCCGCTCGGTCTTCATCCAATGCAGTCTGCAGCACGGTCTGATCAAAGCTCAGCTTCCCTTCACTCCCCAGCGTGATGCCGACCGACTTGAGCGCCTGGATCGACCCCACGCCAAAGAAGCGGTCGGTCAGCAACCGGTTCAAGTCGTTTTCGACCCGCAGAATGTTTCCGTCGCCCAATAGCAACCCGGCTGTTGTCTCGACTTCGTCGAACGCCGTAAGCGAGTCGATCTGGTCTCGCAGTTTGTTGTAGGTTTCGACAAAAGCCGTTACACCCGCCGTAAGGCTAGTGTTCGTCTGCTTGACGTTCACGGTAACCGATTCAGTCGACGCTCCATTCACGGTCACCGACACGCCCGGCAACACGTTGGTAAACGTCCCCGAAGCCGAGGAGGCTACAATGCCTGCCCCGTTGACATTCGAGCTACCGAACAGCAGCAAAGCGTCCTGGGCAGCAGCCGTTTCTTGCAGCGTGAAACCCAATTCCGATGAATCGACGAGCAGGGCTCCCGCCGAACCCGATTGTTGGCTGAGCAACGACAACCGGTAGGGCGTGAGCGTAGAACCATCAGTAAATTTCGAGGCACTGACCCCGGCACCCAGCTTGTTGATGCGTTCGATCAAGTCGTCCAGCGATTCATTTGCCTCGAGCTGAATCTTGTAGGTGGTCGATCCATTGATCACCACCTTATCCTCGCCGTCGATCTGTACGGTTTTGGCAGCTGAAGTTAGTTGCAGATCTTTGGCGGCGGTGCCGGTGACATCGGTGACTTTGAACAACCCGCCACCTTCGGCCGTGTCGATGAGCACGATTCCATCGCCGGCGTCGTTCACTCGAACGTCCAGCCCCAACCCGAGCTGGTCGATTTTCTTGATCAGATCACCAATGGTCTCGACTTGCCCCGTAGTCAGGTCGACTGTTCCCGAGGCTCCGTTGGTGTCGGTGATTTTGAACCGCCCGAGGTTAATTCCCTTCCCGCCCTTGAGCGAGTCGAGGCGTGTGTTCTGGCTAACCACCCTTCGCTGAAGTGTTCCGCTGTTGACCTCCGACACCGCATCATCGATGGCAATGCCCAGCTTATCGGCAGTCTCGGTCGTCCCGTCTCCGTTGGCAACAATCAAGTTACCCGCCGTCGACCCGGTCGTATCGGTCAACGCAATGCCGTTTCGCGACGCGTTGACCTCCGCGCGAACGCCGATGCCAGCCGCGTTGATCGCGTCGAGCACGCCCTGCAAGGTGTCAACGTTCGAAAGGTCGACCGAGGCCGAAGCGCCCGACCGATCGGTGATATCCAACAACCCGAGATCCTCAATCCCACCAATACCGTTCAGGTTTCTCAGCAGCGTGGAATTGAGTCCCGCATGAACCCGCTCGCCAGTGATCGTATCGCCGACGGCATCGCCCGTAAGGCCCAAATCGTGTACGGCCAGGGTATTGAACAGCGAAGTTGCGCTGAACGTTCCCCCCGTATCCGTGGTCAAATCGATCAGCTCGAGCCGGTCGCCGTCTGCCGAAATCTGTGCTTGCAGCCGAGCCGGGTCGGCCGCATTGATTGTGGCCAACACATCACCAATCGTCTGCTCGTTGGCGTCAATCAAAGGGTCAACGCCACTGGTTGTGAACGCGGTGTCGGAGACATCAATCAGCCCAGTGCCGGTACTGCCCGTGGTTTTCGCCGCAGTAAAGAAGGCCTTAGCCGTCTCGTCGTCGTTCAACGCACTGACGATGTGGTTCGCGTTCGTGTGTCCCGCGTCGATCTTAAACGTGAGCGTCTTATTGTTCTCATCGTAGAAGACCGTTTCAGAGCCGAACGTGACCGAGGGATCGTCTTGGAAGGTGACCGAGACCCCGTTGAATTCATCGCCGGCGGTATTAGCCGTGAACTTGACCTTGGCGTCGTTCCCATTTGCCGCCGTCGAAGTTCCGGTCGCCTGGGTTCCAGCGTTTCCAAGCTTATGAAAATCGATGATCAGCGGTGAGCTGCCATCGCGAAAGCTCACCTGCAACTCGGGTAAGGCCTCATCAAAACGAACGCCGTTCCCGTCATTGAGCGAATCGAGGTCGAGTTTGTTGAACAGTCGAAAAATGTCCTGTCCGACAGCTTCGTCGGCGGCAACGTCGACTCCGCCCAGGCCCAGCGATGCCGCGGTGTTCCCCGACAACTCTTGCACTCGCAGGTTGCCCGTGCCACCCGATCCGTCGCTCAGTACGAAGCTGTCACCGCTGACCCGAAGTTTAACGTTGATACCCGCGGCGCTGTTGACCGCTTCAAGCACGTCGTCCACAGTCTGGGCAAACCGCAGATCGATCTCGGAACTGGCACCGCCGCGGTCGGTGATTCGAATGCGTCCGCCTTCGACCCCCGCGCCGCCGTTGAGAATTTCGAGCTTGGTATCGCTATCGACGTAGCCGCCGAAACGAAATGACAGCGACCCTCCGCCTAGCCCCTCAGTGTCACTAGCAATCCCAGAACTCAGCAACTGCTGGCTTTGGGCGGTCTGCAACGGGGTGAACTGAAAGTTCCCCAGTGGGGGATCGCCTGAGGTGGAGACTGATAGCAAGTTGGGGGTTGCTGCTGGTGGCCGTGGTTTGCGAATACAGTGCCGGTTTGCCAAGATTCACAGCCTGAAATTGCAAGCTCAGCAACGATGCAGACAGCGTCGTGAAGGCAACCTGCTCGGCTTCGACCTTCTTACCCAGTTGCGCCAGCAAGTCCCGTGGCCGAGCCTGCACGGCAATCAATTGATCGACCGTCTGCTGGATCGGTATCCCGGTCACCAAGCCAGTTGTAGGAGTAATGCTAGCCATCAATCTCGACCCAACAATCGATTCGAAACCCCCTCCGCGCGACTGTG